GTTAATTTTGGACGGGTTCCCCATATACGATTTTTTTTTCAAAATCTGTCTTATCACGGCTCACGAAAGTTAAATCCTTGCTTTATTCAAAATTAGAATAGACCTATTGAGAGTTGGGATGTTGAATCTTCACGGGGATTGAATGGGAAAATTCTATTTTATCTCACTTTTTTGGGGGGGATGGGGGTGCTGAGACCCGACCAGGATTTTTCCTCCTTCAGGGCGTGTCCCCCTCCTGTTTAAGGGGGGGGGGGTCCGGGGATTTTGTTGAAAGTAACACCTCTTCGATGCAATTTCCTGCACTATGAGGCAGCACTATTAAACAATCTTCATCACAATAACATCACTGTTGAGTTGAGTATTTTTACCTTTGGGGACACCAGACTAAAATACTTACTACCAAATCTGTGCTATGTACATGTCCTCACTGGGGTTACCAGTGCAGACTTACCTAGGCTAAAATACATTTGCCCTGAAAATTCTAGGGGGGGGCGACCGCCCCGTGCTACCGACCCCCCGTTGACAACTACAGCACTGGAATCATCTCCCCTGAAATTTTGATAAAACGTATATTTTACTGAGAACGTTAAAACTGCAAAAAAAAATGAGAAAAACAACCAGATTTGAACAAAAAAGTGCATTTTTTCACCCCTTATACATAATCAGGAATATACTTCCTGTCACCCTCCCATTGTGTGGAATTGTTGAAAAGTTGCAATCTAAAAGCACTCAATTTTGGACATCTCTATCATAGAATATCCCCTCTCCACCCCCCCCCCGGGCGCTTCGTGCCTACGTGCCTTCTTCACCCCTAGAATTTTCTTCTGGATCCGCCACTGGTTGTGTGTGTGTGTGGGGGGGGGGTTGCGTGTTATTAAACCTCTAGGATTCAAAGAAAAAAATTACCCTAGAATTCACAAAATTGCACTTACAATATCAATTTTTTTCAATTCCCTCAAAAACGGCCATCTTGAAGGTTCTAAATTGCTAAAATGCAAGAGGTTCTGCCCCTGCACCCTGACAGGGGCCCTAAGGCGGGCCCCTGGACCCCACCCATTAAGGGCTTTGCGCCAAGGCGCTCGCGGTGTGCGCTACTCGCGCACACTCTTCATATACATTGTCATGGAAGTAACAGCGAAATCATCCCCCCCACAACTGAGGACCTGTCTACGCCACTGCTATATATTATATATAGTAGGGTTACTTGATGGTATTTATAAGGCCATGGCTGCGCGTCTGGTTACCGGACGCCCAGTTTCCAGGCTACGCGTCCGGTCATATATTTCTTATGTGAACCCAACTATATTCCTTCAGGAATTTCTGCAAAAAAAAATTCGAAAAAAGGCATTTTCTAGAGACGATATAGTGCAACGGTAAACAATTTGCGAACGCTTACTGTTGTACGCCTCGTTATGTGAACCAAACTATATTTCTTCAGAAAAAAAAACAATAAACAATAAGTTTTTAACATTAAATTACTTACCTTTAGATATTTTATCAAAAATGTGTTTTTGTAACCTTTGAAGCAATAGTAAATCCAGTAAAATCAACGATTTGAAAGGGGGCGTGGCCTAATCGTGACGTGGAATTGGGAATCTGTGCTGAGCTTTGGAATGGATGACCGGACGTGTAGCCACTGCGTATTTATAAACACGCCCTATCGCCGTGCGTGCATAGCGCACGACCTGTAAAACGTCATTGAAAGTATCGACCGCGAGAATTTGCCAACCGAAATCCACGTCTAACAACGTCGCCAACCATTAGATCGTTGTAACTTCTCAGACACGAACGAGTGATTCTTCAAACGTTGGAGTATGATTTATTCGTGTCTACTATTT